GTGCTTCATCACTGTTTAACAGGCAGGTTTTCTAACTACATGACTGCAGCTGTAACACAACAGAGAGAGTGCAGACAGAAACATTGTAATTGTTGAATCACATTGATTCAATTTTTAGATAATTTTAGCATTTTATCTGTCTTTTACCTTTCACTTGTTATCCTGAAGGATCTGTATCAGAGGTCTCAAGTGCAAATTGCATTATACTGACATCTTGTTGCATGTTGGCTGCATGTGGGACGTTCGTGTATTGAAGTGTTCTTAAACTACCTTGAACCCATGAAAGACGAACTGTAAGCTGATGTTGTAACATTGAAGTGTTTGCCTTTCCTTTCTTCCATGGGGCTTTTGTATATTTAAATGGTTTGCTGCATTTGTAAAAAAAAATGCTGTGTGGACAAAGGGGTGTGTGTGTTTGCTGTTATGTCACTGTAAGCCGTGGCAGTGTTGCGTGTATCCTCTAAATATATTAGGTTTATACACTAAGGTCAGTGTGGCACAAGGGACTCATAGGAAGTTAAAACAGTGATCTGTGAGTTCAAATTGCTCTGCTGTCACATTTTAACATATTTTTAACATTTCATTCTGTAATTCACTGGTTTTATCACTCATGTGTAAACTGTTAGAATCAGGTTTTGGTCATTTTTTATATTCACATGACAAATCTTTGACTGAGGTTGCAGTTTAACGTAAAAATGACCAGGGAATGTGGAAAATAAAAAGAATGATGCTGCACTAACAAGCTGGACTCCTTGTGCATTCTTCACATTCCTTTGCTTTGATATATTTTGCTTTGCAGCACTAAAAGGTATGTTGTCAATTGTATAGCAGACCTAACCACATGTGTTTTATTTGTTACCTTTAACTCTTAATTTGTTCTCTGTTTGTTTTAGGGCGCTTTGTTCTGTTTGTCACCAACGCAGACACAAACCATTGGCTTCTCATGACCAGCAGCCATTTGGGGATAAAAACAGACTCTGGTGGTACGTATGTTCTGCCTCATCACCATTCTCTCTCTCCTCTCTCCGTTGCTTTTGTTTGTTTGTCGCGCACCAGTGTTTTCCACTTCATTAAAGTTTAAATAGCATGGTGCAGGGACAAAAACAGCACAGTTTAACGGCTGCAGAGTACCATGCAGTGTCGGTGACTGCTGAAGTCAGGAACAATTAATGTTATAAAGGTTATTTTAAGACCTCAGAGTCAGGTTTGAGCCTTTAGTCATGCAGACAATGTTTTTCCTGAAATGTGCATTGATGCAGAACCAGACGACCTCCAGTCTGCAGCAAATATTTAAAGCAGAAGTACCTCAAATTTGGGAAGAATTACTTTCAAAGGAAAAAGTTTTATTGACTTGCGAAACAAGTAGAAAATTACAATTAGCATGTTATGTTTATATATATATATAGTATATATATAAAACAGGACAGTTCAGGAGAACATAGAAGAGAAGCCTTGTGTTTGACTTTCTGGCACTCTGATATCCACTGTTTGTTTCTTCAGCACACAGCCAAAAAAGTCAAAATGCACTGAAAATCATCATCGATGAATGGGCTGCCTGTTGATAGAACCAGTACTTGTAGTACTTAAAGTTTTTTTTTCATCAGTACAGCATCCCTTCAGGTTCCAGTACTACATATTTCTTCATGCTTGTCGGCAGGGGCAGCTGTGTTACACCACTGTGGCAGTGGCCGCCCAGGCTGGCTCTGATGGCACATCTGCTCAGGTGGAGCAGGCTGCGAGGGGTGTTAGTACAAACAGCAAACATGGAGTCGTAGAAGTCTTTATGTCTCTGAGAGGTCAAGGAGACAGGTAGAAACAAGTCATTTTTAAAAGTTAAAAAGTATTCATTTGTGAAAAATTATAATACAATTCCAGCACGTCTTTCACACAAGGTCACATTCTGCTTCTTTGTCTCGTCTAAAGATTGGAATCCACTTCTTTACAAATATAGGCCTTGAATAACTGGAGCTGTTGTATTTACAGATCCTGTTTTAACAGCTTTCACGTATTTATATCAGACACTTTGCAAAAAATCTGTCAAATACCTGGTAGCAGTCATCAGGAATGGCAGCTTTCCACTTCCTGGTAGGCTTTAAGTGTTCATAACAGTTGACCATGATTTCTAATACACCTGGGTAGTCATGGCACGCCTGCAACACCTGCACAAAACAATCAAAAGTTTCATGTAGAAATGTAGAAACAGCTACAGTTTGCCGTAGCCCTAATAATCTAATCTAATCTTTTTTTAAAGTAAATGCATTTAGTTGTAAAATATATCACATATTTACTTCCTTTAAATGAGGACAAAAATGTGAAATAAATTTTACCTAAAAAGAGCAAAAACATTTCAAGACATTTTGTGACCTTGTGGAACTGGGGTGGGTAAATCCTGGCTGCGTTATAGTTGAGCAGCAGCTGATAACATAGTTCAGTAATGGCCATGGGCCTGATATCTGTTGCTTTCAGCAGGTACTGAATGGGGGCACAGCCGTTGATGTCCATTGCCCTGGTGTCAGCTCCAGCCTCCAACAGCATCTCCATCAGGACGTGATCACAGTTCCAGGCTGCTTTATGAAGAGCTGTTTTATTGTCTTCTTCTTGAAGTTTGGGATCTAAAACCAAAGTCTTCATATAAGGAAAATAACTCAAATCAGTGAACGTTGTGCTTGATCTCTGGCTTCACATACTTGCTTTGTGGTCCAGCAGGAGGCGGCAGACAAGGTGATGATTTTCACTGTATGTTTGCTGTTTGGTGTCAAAAGCCCAGAAGGCGGCAGTTATCAAAGGTGTCTCGTTGAAAGAGTTGAATGCATCCGGTGATGCTCCGTGGACCAGATATAGATTCACCAGCTCTGGCACGCCACATCTGGCTGCTACGTGTAAGGGTGTTTCCTCGTCATTGCTGTTGCTGGGCATATTGATGTTTGCACCTCCATATGAGAAAAACAATGAACATTTTCATCTGTTTGTAAATTATCCTAATACTTTGTATTCATTATTGACTTAACTTACAAATGTATCCCGCCCTCCTGACCTTTCAAGATGAGCTGTTTTGCACAGGCCACGGACTCTGCAGTGACGCAGTAATGCAGCGGAGAATGTCCGCTCAGTGACTGGATGTTGACCTTTGCCCCGTGAGCTAAAAGTAAGGCAGTAAAGTCAGCATTGGAGACCTGGCAGGCGACATGAAGTGGAGTCTTCCCATTGGGCATCCGGTTCACAGAAGCACCCTTCTGGAGGAGCACCAGTGCTGTTTCGACAGCACTATACATCACACACACGTGAATACCCATTGCCCAGGAGTTTTCCAGTTTGTAATCTGGCAGCCAGTAACCTGCAGCAAATCAGACAGTGATGCCAAAGGGAAATGGGAAAGGTGAAGAGAGATTCCTTCTGAAAAGCAAATGTTACAAACGTTGGAGATGAGGTTTTAGCTTTGGGCAGTTTCCCACATAACAAACAGTATCAGAAACAGTTCATTCTTTTTCAATATTTTTATCATGGATATTTATAAAATAATACAGCGAGCATCTGGAACCTAAAATGAATGGCAATGAGATTGTTTCTTTATGCAATCTGATTTTGAGCTGGCAATACCAAGGCCTTCTATCGGGCCTTCAGATACAGAGATTATCACACTGTATTAATCTAACATTTCTACCTTCAAGCTTTAATTCTTAGTTTTACTTATTTTGCTTTAATTGAGAAGCACCAAGTAATTGTATATATATATATATATATAATAAATACAGTATAATAAGTAGGAATCCTGAAAGCATCCTTACCATCTCTGTACTTTTGTCACCCCCAAGTGGCAGAGGTGCAGAACTTGCCCCGATGATATTTAAAATAATTGATGAAACTTTTAAAGTGACCAAAATACTAAAAGGCTGGTAGTGAACGAATGAAGAAATTGAAAGTGAAAGAAAGTTACCAAAACGTGTTTCTTGGCTGTTAAAATTTGACCACAAGCCTTTCTATACTTTGACTTTTGTATTTTTTCTTAAACTCCAGGATTCTTTGAATTTGAATAAGCCTTATGGCAATTGTGTAAATTGCAAAAAACAAAATGTTTATTAGTTAGTTCCAAAATACCTTTATTAAACTGTTTTTTGCAAAAAATAAAAAAGAATTCACAGAAATGCCACAAAATGTAAGTTAAAGTTTTAAAATCAAATCTTCCAAATCAATATTGTGTGCTACATGCCATAAACAATGATTTATGATTTTTACGTCACTATCTGACCAAAAATGGCTTACTACAATACTGCCTTCACCTACGTAACAGTACCTTGTTTATAGGAGGCCAAGACCATCTCAGGATCCTTCACCTCCAGAACTGTGTCAATGTCTAGTCCGTCATTCTGCAAAATCTGCAGCACCTCCTGGGCGTCGTTGGTCTGCAGCGCCTCTAAGAACTTTCTCTTCAGCTGCTTGACAGACAGTTGTCGGTGGTTCAGCTCCTCCATGTACTCCCTTGGATAAATATTCGGCAGCGTCTCAGCAGCAGGATCAGAGAATAATGTTCCCACAGTGTTTAGTAGATTCAAAATAAAAGCACAAAATAATACACCATAACAACACAGGGAGGCCTCTGGAGACCCAGCAGTGACGGGAGGCCAACGAGAAAGGAGAGTGGAAATTAGGTCATGGGGTGAAAGTGGGCGACTCTTGGCAGGAGGTTAAAGTAAGCTTTTTATAAATAGAAAGGAGCTGAGACGTGTTTACTGACAGAGTGACGGTCCTGTAGTAAAAATAACACATGGACATGGCGTGTCCAAAGTCTCTCAGTAAACTTTTGCTCTTGCAGCAGGTGCTCAGAGCATTACTTTTAATAAGACACTCATAACACGGAGGATCTTGTCTGTGTGTTTCTCATCAAAACTTTGTGATAAACTATAACTTGGATTTTAAGGCATTTCTGGGACTTTTTTTTCCATTTTTTCATAATAGTAAGACTATAGTGAGCAGCAGTGGAGTCTCATCCACCCAAGCGGTTCTCTTTAAACATGCCAGGGAAGTTTAAGGTCAAGCACTTAAAAAAAGAACAAAGTTTCTCCTCCTCAGGGTGCTTACAGTACACACACTGGGACATAATAGAAAAACAAGGCTTCCAACAAACAAGGGGTCCAGTGGTACAAAATATTTCTAAGACATTTATGAGAGGTTTATTGGAGGTGCAAGAATAAACAGAGTGCCACTTAACTGGGAAGTATTATGACTAGTCTTTAATAATTTTGTACTAGTCTACATGTGCATTATATTTTATGCAATCATTTTGTGCAGACAGAGGTAATTCTGTGATACTTGTTTTATTATTATTATTTCATTTTGACATTCCAAACGATTATTTATTTAGTAATTGCATACATTTTAAATTTAATTCAGATTCATGCCCCCCACCCCTTCCCTTTATGTGACGATGTATTGTCTTTGAACTGCACCTGCTTTGATAGAGGCGATAAGGGAGGAGTGGAGGAGGAAAAGAAGAGAGGGAGGAGGCAGACGGGCAGGTGGTGCATTAAGAGAAACGCTATCGCAGCCGTCGCTTCACTTTACAGCAGCTTGTTGTCATGGAGGAGCAAAGATGGCGGTCCTGGCCTATAGCCCGGGCAAACGCGAGATAAATCAATATTTTTCCATAAGAAACGCCAAATTAATATCACTCGTTGTCGTTCTTCTACTCCTACTATTTCACACAGCTTCGCGATACTATGGAGGTGAGTCGTTATTTGAATTCAAACTTAACAGTTGATGCAGCCTGTGTAACAAGCTACTGCTAACATTAACGTTAGCCACGTAGCAGCTGTGTACTTGGAGTGCAGGACCGTTCACTGTTATTCTAAAAAAAAAAAAACCTGACCGAGTCACAAGGTGCACTGCTGCCACGAAACATACACGTTCACGTAGACTAAATACAGATGAAAAAAAAATCTTAATTAGTGAAACAACCATTTGGTTTGACAAAAGAAGCTAACACTGCATTTCTCAGTGTTTACATGCTGTGAGCAGCAGCGCACGCTTGATTACAGTCAGAAGCCATGTGTAGAGAGAGGTAACATAATAATTAACATAACAACGGTTTTTATCTTCCGCTTATCTGTGTCTCAGTATAATATTCTACACTGCGTTACGTTTCTTTACTGGCGAAATTGTCATTTATTTGGACAGGGCTGTGTTTAACGTCTACCAAGAACTAACTGTACTTACAGTGACTAAGAGAAATATCACACTCCCTCTTGTCTCTGGTGTTTTCACTGTCTTAAATGAAGGAAGAAATAGAAGAATAGATTCATCTTTAATTGAAGAGTACGATGTTGTTGAGCGCTTGATTTTATGTTTATCATATTAGATGATGCCTTTCCTAATATTTGTTTTTTATTTGTTTGACCCATTTTCTTAACGGTCAATGTGATTGTGTTTACATTGTATGTTCAATGTAAACACAATCACATTGACCATTGATCGCCTATTAATGTAAATCTACAAATGTTTTCCTTATAAGAACTGAATATTACTGACACACTGCTTCTCTGTGTTTGTCCAATTGGGGAGGATGCTGTTCATTTTGCACACATAATTAAATGCCCTTATGCCTTGTATTATATTCTGGTCATTTGTGGCCAACGTTTGAAAAGCCAGTGATGCACTCAGACAATGTTTTTCAGTCATAGTTTCTAAGAATCTACCCAGAATGGGTTTGGTGTTGTTTAGTTTTGTTTGGGGCTTAATGTCAGCTTTGTCTGTGTCTTGCCTCAAGGTGGAGACTCATGTGAATGGCTGCTGTCCAGAGGACGTTTCTTGGGAGAGAATGTATGGCAGCCTTATGGCTGCATGATGCACAAATACAAAAGCACGTGAGTCACATCGGCTGTTCAAGTATCCTTTGCAAATGTGTGCTGTAAGGTTTTAATAAAAACGTGTAACAGAAATCGTAAGGGGAGGATGGATTTGCATAAGGATGGATGAATCAATAGAAAAGATGCTCAGCTTAATTACCTTGTAGCACATAGCGATCCACCCTGATAAGGAATTCGCATCTGGTGTACAGATGCACAAAGTTCAGATTCTTCTCCGTCATATTTCTTTTTTTGCAGTGAAGCCAGAAACTGCCTAGCCGAAAAGCGGGTGGCCTTTGTTGGCGATTCAAGAATCAGGCAGCTATTTTACTCCTTCACAAAAATTATTGACCCTGAACGAAGAGAAGATGGAAACAAGGTGAGTTTGTGAAAACAAAGAACAGCCCAGAGGAAATGTTTTGTAGATTATTATTCAGCAGGTCTTATTGTTAATGCCTTGTGTATATATAAAATAAAATAATTAAAAAAAACCACAAACCACAACAGCAGAAGTGGATGAAGCCTTTGTGACTGTGTCGGTCTGATCTCGGTAAAATCAGAAACACTTTCGGTCTAACCAGCTTTCTCTGTTCCCTTATGTCATGTCTAAAGCACGAGGACATTTCCTTTGAAGAAGACACTTCCTCTCTTAATGTGGTGAGTTATTTTTGGACATTCTTCCTCAGCTTCTAAAAGCCATTGTCAGTTCAAAGTTGAAACATCTGTGTCTATCTTTGTGTTAAGGACTTTCTTTGGTATCCAGAGGCAAACAACTCGCTGAAGGAGCGCCTGATATCCTGGATACATGTGAGTACAGATAATTGAAATAATGTGTTTTTAAGGATTGGGGCCACAGTGATTATAGTTTAATCGACTCGGAGGAGTTGCATGGGTCTACTACTGTCCTCACTGCATATTTACTCATGGGTTGCAGGAAACCACAGCAAAGCCAGATGTTGTCATTCTTGGAGCTGCCTCGGTAAGTTGCACAAATGTTGCTTGCACACTCGGTGATAAACAAGGTGTTGGCCGAGAAACGTCAATCAGGATTAAATGGCTCTGTTTGCTTGATTGCAGTGGTCCATTAAGTTGCACAGAGGAAGCAGTGAGACCCTGCAGCAGTACAAGGTTAACCTGACGGCCATTGCTGTGTATCTGGAAAGACTGGCTGAGGATGGAGAGGTCTACTGGGTGCTCCAAGGTAAGGGGACAGAAATTTAAATATACTTCACCGGAATAATAACCACTTGAAGGTTACTGTGAGGTTAACCCTCGAAAGATAGTAATCTAATACAGAAAGCTGTGTCATTGTTCTGCAGTTACTGCTCGTCTACAGTACAACACATCATCTGAGTTTTCAGACCAAAACAAAATAGTAAACCTTGCTTGAAGGTCTTTTAGGACTAAACAATAAAATACAAATACGACAGCAGCATAAACCTGTTGGTCATAAACTACACTGACGTTAGTCTCACATAAACCAATCACTATGTGGAGCTGTGAAGACAGCACCTACAACTGAGCTTGTATGAAAGGCTATAACAACATTTTAAATGTCACCACATAGGTTGAGCAAATTTAACTTCCTAAAAAAATGCATTTTTTTTTTACACTCATTGTTTGTTCTGTTTAACTGAGATCAGGTCTTGTGCTTGGATTTTCTTATAGCTGGAATTTAGTCCCAAACTATTACAAAGCCCCACCTATTGTGGAGTCAGTACAGGCTGAGTACCTTTTTAACTGATGTCCTCTTGAAAGGACATTGTTGTTTAAACAGTTTGTTGTTAGTCTTATTCAGATGTCTTAACAACTGTGCACCTTATTCCAGTTGTCTGTAAGAAAACATGATGAAAGCTAATACTATAATAATTGATCATTTTTAAGAGACAGTTTCAGTGGCTAGTTGTGTCTTAATATATTTGGATGTGGCTCCACATTTGTTTACACTAAATCGCGAATCATGTTTTTATGTAATCGCACAAACATGAACATCTAGAACAGAAGATCTCTTTACATAAAACACGCACCAAAGACTGGACACAAAATATCTAAATATGATCATCTTTGTGACTCCATCATCAAGACCACAGGACTATCACCACAGAAAACAGAGTTTAAACTTTGAAAAGTAAAGTAGCTTCAGAACTACGCACCCCCGTCTAAATCTTTGTTAACATTTTACACAACATGATCCCCTCCTGTAGAGCCAGTCAATGAAGGAGTCCTGAGTGAAAACAGGAAGATGATCACCAACCAGCAGCTAGATCTGTACAATGAAGCAGCAGTCGACGTGATCAACAGCAGCAAGCGTAATGGCAGGTCCCGGATCAAGCTGTTGGCTGCATCACGTCAGGCTGCGCTAGAAACAATCAGCCAATCAGATGACGGCTTGCATGTTCCAGAGAGTACCAGGGATGTGGTAGGTTAAATTTCTGATTTAAAAAAAAGTCTATTTCTTTTTTTAATTTATTTAAAGACATCTTTCTTACTGTTCTGTCTAACTGTCTTTAGGGCGCAATGGTTCTCATGAACTCCTTATGCAACAAGATACTGAGGCCCATAGATGGTTCGTGCTGCCAAACAATACCGCCCCTCAACTTCCTCCAAAAACTGGCAGTGTTCCTCTTCCTGGGATCAGCCCTCATCCTGCTGGCCCTGCATGTCTTTGGCATCAACCGCCACCGCCGACCTGTACCACCTGACGTGGAGAGCCTGGAAGAGAAAAAGCCAGTGACTGCAGCTGTCCCCTTTAGCCCAAAGGCGCCTTTTCATGCCCTTTGCAGGATGGGTGTCATCATGGGCTATTTTTACCTCTGTGACAGAGCAGATATGTTCATGAAGGAGCAGAAGTTCTACACACACTCTACATTCTTCATTCCCCTTGTCTATATATTTGTCTTGGGAGTGTTTTACAGTGAAAACAGCAAGGAGGTAGGAACTCCTGATTCTGCCCTTACTTTTTGATGCAATTCATTAGGATTTTTCAAACGTTATAATGGTGCATGCAGTAAAATTAATGATTTCTGTACCTACAACTATCTGCACACAGACCAAATTACTTAACCGAGAGCAAACAGACGAGTGGAAAGGCTGGATGCAACTTGTCATCCTCATCTATCACATATCTGGTGCCAGTGCTGTGAGTTATAATTATGTCAGAAAAACATGACAAAAACATTTGAACCTGCTTTAAGGAAGTTTTTTGACCCAGGGTGTCAACATTTTTCTCTTATTACAGTTCATTCCAGTGTATATGCATGTGCGGGTGTTGGTGGCAGCGTATCTATTCCAGACTGGTTATGGACATTTTTCCTTTTTCTGGCTTAAAGGAGACTTTGGACTGTATAGAGTGTGTCAGGTAGGCAATAAATCATCAAACTGCAGTTACATTTTAACCAGGCCTTTATGAGGAGTCATACAGAATATGTGGGTGTTTGTACTTTGCTTGGGAATCATAAACAACCACAGGTGACACTGGTGACACTTTTTTTTTTTTTTTTAATTTAAAAAGCACTTTTGTTGTCGTGTGTATTTTCACCAGGTACTCTTCCGTCTGAACTTCCTAGTTCTGGTGTTGTGTGTGGTTATGGACAGGCCCTATCAGTTCTATTACTTTGTGCCACTGGTTACCTTCTGGTTTGTCATCATCTATGCCACACTGGCCTTGTGGCCTCAGATCCTTCAGAAAAGAGCAAACAGTAGGTGTACCTGCAGCTGTCATTGATTAATTTGACCCATTAAATACAGTCTATGAAGTTGTCACTGCTGTTTTTTTTGCTGGACAGGTAGTGGCGTATGGCACCTTGGGGTCCTGATGAAGTTACTGGGCCTGCTACTGTTCATATGCTTCTTTGCCTTTTCACAGGTGAGTGGATTTATTATTGTATAATATCTCCTCCTTACTTGTATACATGGTATATAACATTTGTTTAGTGATATTGATAGGTGGGAGACACACTGGATGTAAGTCATCATCAACTGATCCAGCTGTTGTTGGACATTTCTTTAATAATTATTCTGTTCTTTAATCATCATGATTTATTTCCTTTGTAAAGTTCATGTTATGCCTTTTGTGATTGTGACTTCAGGGCATTTTTGAAAGTATATTTTCCATGTGGCCAATCTCCAAACTCTTTGAGCTGCATGGAAGTATCCACGAATGGTGGTTTAGATGGAAGCTGGACAGATTTGTAAGTCAAATATTTTTGTTGTTTTTCCTGATGTGCAAAACCTAAAGCATAAAAATTGCATTTCAAAAGTTTTTTTTTTTTTTTCTTATACTGCAGGCTGTGATTCACGGCATGGTGTTTGCCTTCATCTATCTAGTGCTGCAGAAGCGCCAGGTGCTGTCTGAAGGCAAAGGAGAAATTTTGTTACCTGGAAAGATCTCCAACCTTCTCCTTCTCTTTTCGGTCATCTCTTTCATAGTAAGACTCCATGTCTCAGTTTAGCTCGTGAAGAAATCTCTTAGTTGCAACAGCACCTTGCTACAGAGAACATGTAACTTGTCCACAACTGTCAGGTAGACTTTTCAGTCTTACGTTTTACCAAAGAGTTGGTTTATCAATAGAGAAAGGCCAGCAGACTGTAACAAGAAGTTGGTATGATGACATTTTTTTTCTTATATCTCGTGAATAACGGTGTTGAAGAATGTTTTTTTTTGTCACCCTCTTCCAAGATTTGAACCTTTGATTAAAGGTCCTTGTGCTTTTTTGTCACTCCAGACTTACTCCATCTGGGCCAGCAGCTGCAAAACCAAAACAGAATGCAACGAGATGCATCCTTATATCTCTGTGGTCCAGGTACAGAAAGTATCTTGTGATCCTCCTTGACTTTAACAGACGAAGGTCCTTAAGAGATTGTTTTGAATCAAATGTAGCAATTTCCATGGTCAGGAAACCAGATAAGTATTATTTTTGTTTCGCATTGTGAAAATTAGTCATCAGAAGATACAGTAGGTAAACTGTAGCAGGTTGAAAGTGGTTATTAGACCTAGCAGTGCCCTTCCTCCCTGACTCAGAACAGACCTTGTAAACATAGCAGGCTGATTAATGAGCATTAGTTCCCCCATGAGAACTGCTCATCTTTGAAATGATATTGTCTCCATTTGTCCACAGATTCTCTCCTTCATTCTTATCAGGAACATTCCTGGCTATGCGCGCTCTGTATACAGCTCATTCTTTGCATGGTTTGGAAAGATTTCCCTGGAGGTAAGCACAGCTGGTAGAATTTTGTGATTTTTAAAACAAAGTGCAATTCATTATTCCCAAAACACTTTTCATGACCTATGACACCAAGTCTGTAATTCCCACAATAATTACCACAATTTAATGACTTTACTATTCAACATGCTTTGTCTTCTTCAGCTGTTTATTTGCCAGTACCACATCTGGCTGGCAGCAGACACCAAAGGGATTCTGGTACTGATTCCAGGAAATCCGTCACTCAACATCATGGTCAGCACTTTCATCTTTGTTTGTGTGGCACATGAGATTTCCCTCATCACCAATGACCTAGCCCAGGTAGTCATCCCCAAAGACAGTGTTGCACTGCTCAAGAGACTGGGGGCAACAGGGATCTTCAGTTTGGTGGTACTGCTGCTGTCCAGAAGTGGTCAGCCCAGTCCTGGTGCCTAACAGGACATCTTTTTAATGGGCACTATGTGGAGTGTCTAGGTCTGCCCTACTTATGGTTAAAGTAAAATACAGTTTCAAGCCAGAAGCAGGTCCTGGATTTGAGACCACTGTTGGCAGCAGGAGCCATTGTTGGCCATGTTCAATGTAAACACATGAAGACAACGTAGAAGGCAGCGCCTCACTGCAGACCACACTGTACTTTTTCTTACTGCTATGAAAGTCGCACACTGGAAAAAAAAAATGCCTAAGAAGGCGATTTCTCCTTTAACAGCAGTGTTTCCATTTAAAAAGAAAAAGGAAAAAAAAACTAATGCTTAAACGGTTTACATTATCTGCAATCAACAGATGAGCAGAAAGTGAAATTTGAAGTTCTCTCATTTCAAGACTCTCACGCTTACTCCCTGACTCTGCTCATTGCTTCTACTTCGCCAAATACTCAGCCAAGAACAAGGTGTTTTTTTGGTTAAATGGTACTTTTTGTCATGACCTCACACTCCGTCCATGTGGCAGTAGCAGCCGAAGGTGTTTTCACTCAGGTGGATCCATACTCCACATATTCAGATATCTACACTTCCACCATGGTAAAACCAAATTTTCTCCCTTCAGTTCAGTTTATACAGTATTTGCCACCTTAACATAATATTGGATATCTTAATATGCAAAAAAATGGAGCTTCAGTTGGTTTGGGCCATCCACAAGCTGCCAATACTAAAAACAGTAAGCGGTGTGCAATTGTTGATAAATATTCTTCATAGTCTTTATATAATGTTGAAAGTAATTTTTTTCCAGGTTAGCCTTGTCTGAGATGGTACTGTGGTCACCTGCTATAGCTCTGAAATTGTATGTGATATGTACAGTATTTAATGTTTTAAATTAAGCTTATATTTTATACTTTTTTTGGCTTTGTTTTATTTGCGCACCAACGACTGCTGTTTGTGAAGGAAGTATTACATTGATCATTTTGTACTGCCTCAGAAACACATTACAGGATTTACAGTAGTCTTTACAGTCGAGCCCCGTCTGTCTGATTAGCAGCTGACTTCTTCGTGTATATTTGTATAATAGAGTGAGATATTTATTTTATACAGAAACGCGCCAGTGTTTTTAGTCCTTTGACTTTTCACATAAACCTGAAATGTGGCTGGTTCCAATACTGGTCGCTGTGGTTAGACTATATTGTCCTACGTCTTTGCAAATACACCGTGGCTGTTACAAGACTCCTATTGGGACAGCATATTAGACCATGCTTTCCTCCTCTGTATGTGCTCAAAATGTCATTACAGCTGTTATGCACAGGGGTGTTTCCAGACCCCTGGAGGCCCCCAGGCAAGAGGCACTATTGCAGTGTCTAAAGCAGGACAATCGTTTTGTCATTGATATATGGACCAATGTCCCCTGTCTCTTGGGGCCCCTCCCAGCTTGGGGCCTCAGGCAATTGCCTGAGTTGGCAACACTTTATTTCGAATGCATGCATTCAGAAAGAGCTTTTTGCCACATTCTTGACCCCGTATTTGAAATTCAGAAATATTGTCTGCTGACTACTGCAGAAAATCTGTTCATTGAGGACCTAATGTAGATGTAATGTATGTTCCCCTAATTTATCTGGAAAAAATTGGTAGACACCTATGTGTGTCTCATTAACTTACTATTGTAAGTAATTGAATTGAATTATTTCTCTCACACCTAAAATATTAAGATAATAACATTTAGATAGACCTAAATGTTTTATACAGTTTTGTGTAACGCTAACCTCTAACTCCCATTTCTGTCAGTATATCTCCTGCTGTTGTTTCCTGCTCCCAGAGCTGCGTAAAAGAACTCCTAGCACAGGAAGCCCTTGACAGATTCAGTAGTCCTGGTGGCCCACTATATACAGTATATAATGTTTTTGATGTTGTTATTAATGACTATGTAACAATGTTTTCATGTAAAGTACTGTTAGAGGGTGCAAAGCATTTGTAATATTTTGAGCACATTACCTAACAAAGAAGCTTGGGGGGAAACTTATTTCTCTCAAAGTTTCCAGGCACAGGGCTGGGTTTTACAACAACTGGTCTTAACTGACTATATAATCATAGATAATCTTAAACAGCGATAGGTTTTGAAAACTGCCATATTTCTTCTTTTTTTTTTGCCTGGCAGCTCTGTACAACACAGTACATCCTCCTCCTGCCACAGCCGTCAGTGAACTTCAGTCTAACAAATTACTCAGAAACAAATGCCTTGTAAACATGCAGCTTCTTTCAGTGTCTTGTACACGCAGCAGCACACCTCCCTCACGTCTATGACGTAGGCCGAGGTCATAATCTTCTGCCCATACGCACTTTGCAGCAGAGCCACATTATTTGGAAAAATACTTCTTTGTAATGCACTGAGTTCAGAAGAAACATTATGGAAAAGAAATGTGTATTTTGTCTATTTATCCTCACAGACATGTAAGAAAGATTAGCACTTTCAATGTATAAGGCCTGTATTCTTCTCATCTGTACAGGGGACGACGACGTTCAGCATAGTACCACAACAGTACACGTAATGTACAATAGCACAATTGAATAAAACATAGGATTACATGTTTCTTTTTGGGTCCTTCAGCAGCAAAATAGTTGTGAGATCTGTGCTTTGGATTTAAGTTGCATTTTTCATAAGTGACTGCAGTGTTGTTTTTTTTTACTCACAAATGTAGCTTTTTAAAAAAAAACATGGGTCCACAAAGACTGAATCTTTTTTATACAAAATACTTGTCATTGGTCTGGTTTGCCAAATGCATTTGTAATTTTTATCATCCTGTAGAGTTGGGATTTTTTATGCTGCAATTTTTCGTTGTGTAAACTAAAAAAGTTAACTTTTTTTCCGGACCTTTTATTGATTCACAGCTTTAGTAATTGTTTCAGGCCTTAATAGATCTCTTTGGTCATGTAAAAGCAACAACTATTTATAACCCTGTGCAGGGGCCACTTTGAAATGTTACATGTAAAATTGCGATGTCTTCAAAAAATGTGAACTATATCCAATTTATTTATAAATGCCTTTATTCTGCTCTACACTGTACCTCCTTCCTTGTCATTTTGACATTACCTTTGTTTATTTCCTAGATTTTTTTTCAACAAGTAAAAACAATTTGGAAATATTTTACTGTCATCATGTAACACGTAACAATGACGACCAATGTACAGAAACTCCATGTACAGTACAACCTCCTTTTCCTCTCGGAGGCCCATTGTGCGAGGAATTACCATTTTAAACCTTTGTGTTTTCAGTCCTTTAAACATGTTCTTCTTAAAACTCCTATAATCTCTGTTTCTTCAACACGTGCACTCTTCAAAATGTGAGTGCATAAACTTTTCTCAAGACACTTCTGAGTGATGGGAATTGGCACAAATGTTTTAAAAAAAAATACATGGACATTGAAGACATAAAGGTTTGATGTGGTTGTTTTCTGGTCACAAATTTAGGGCTTCGGCCACCTTTCTCTCCTCAGGAATACCATTTACCTGGAACATACAAAAATGCATGAAAACTTAGAGCCATTAAGTTAAAAACTTATGCAGTGCTGTTTTTGCTTGTTAGAAAATGTGATGTGACAACTGTAACAGTACCCACCTCCAGCCTTTGAAATGTTGACATGACATAGTTATCTCCTTTGTTAGCAGTGGACAGAGAGAGCAGTGGGTTAGTTTCTCATGCAGTTCACAGCCATGCACACAGGATGGCGCTCACGCATCAACAACCCGTGGCGTCGATGCGTCGTCACCGTTATTGGCTGCGAGTAGAAGAAACAGCTTCTCGTCACCACAGCAGGTGAAGCTCATTAAGATATTGGTTCATTCTGTACACGTGATGTTTGTCTACCGACAGGTTCCCATGTTCGTGGCCTAGGATTGGTTCAGCCAGGAAGGGGAATGAAATGCAAAGTGGACGCTACACATCATTCTAGATGGAGAACAAAACTCAACCAGGCTGGATTGAGGTAAAACAGTCCAGAATGCTTAATAAACCTAATGAAAAGCATTTCACTCAGGGTTTGTACAGTTATGACATTTCTGGAAACGTTTTGGAAATCGAAAATGCATTGTCTAGGTCCTTTAAAGATTAATGGTTGTGTAGATAATGTTTAAAATGCAGAAAAAAATTAATAAAATGCTGTGACGTGCGAATATGATTTTAATCACATACAAAGTGTACAAACCCGGTTGACTTGATGCCTGTATGACAGCAATTAAGGTAGTATAGTAACTTCAAGCAGAAAATACCATTTAAAAATACCTTCAGGAGAAGTCGTAGAACATTATCAGCCGGATCACACAAATTAATAAACAGTCGTAGATTTAATCAACAACGATGAAGAACATTAGACGTCGACAGACATACTGTATATGTGTGTGGTATATGCTGCTAGACTGCTGGGGAAATGCATTGTCTGTTCACCTTTTTTTTTTTTTAAATAACTCTCGGTGGCTCTTATTCTTTAGTGCCACCTCTATTCAAGCTTGTATAATTTATCAGTTCTCCTTATTTATCTTTAGAAACCTGTTAAAGTACTGTGATTGTCCTGCTGCTTAAACTTGTGAATATATCTTAAGCGTGTGGCGACAGATCTGTTTGTCTCGTGGCAAATTACATCCACACTGCACATGCAGACGCAGTAAAGCAGATATTAGGATTAGAATTCCAGAGGCGGATGTAGAACTTACCTGATGGCCGCTGCTGTGGTATTGTAATCTGGTTTTGAAGGTTCCTGGAATGGCAAACATTGATACGGTGAAAGTACATTCACATTTAAGAGCCATTAGAATGTGAAACAGCCTATGGTAAAAAAATCATGAGACTGTTGTCTGATGCCATAACTTTAGCTGTAAACACGGCAGGCATGCAGACAATCCGACTGAACCAAATCAGTAATTTCCACTAGGATGTTTAGCTCTTAGCTGTACACCTGCTAATGATTTACTCACGTCTGTGTCTGCATAAGGGGCATGCTGGTGGTCTCGTAGTTGTCTGGATGGATGGGTGGCACCACCTCACCACTGACCGGGTTGAAGACGGGCAGGGTGGAGAGTGGCCAGGAGATCTCACGGTTCTTAGACATGGTCCGCAGCTCCTTGGTGGACTTCTGGATGGAGCTGTGGTGGACCAGCTGGATACTGGAGAGAGCAGAGACCGTATGTCACCTGATGTGGGTCTCATCACATGATCCTGAGCCTGACTGACAACAATGTTTCATTGTTTGTTGAGGTAAGGTCTGATTCAATCCATGCATCACTGTGGTGTCAAATACTCCATGTTCATTCTTGGGGGTTTGGGAGGTTTAAAAGCAAACACTGATTCCTATCATCTTTCGCCAGACCTTTGGGCAGCCCATTGGGTGAATGGACATGAAAACACATATAATGAAATATGATTTGAATATGGTTTCGCTAAAGCTGGCAGTGCCAACAAAGAGGAGAAATATGCAAACCAAACAGAGGAAAGTGGTGGAGGGTGAAGGGGGGCAGAGACGGGCCCAAAATCAAGAAAACACAGGAGAGGTAAAAGACTTACTCTGGTGTTTGCATGTTTCTTTTTTCCCTAGAAATGAAACAAAATGAATGAATTAAATACTAATATTAACAGGTACAGACACAGCTACACACAGGTGAATGGATTGATGGGTAAACACCGAACACTGAGTGAACAGGGGTGTGTGGGGGCACGTCTCTCCCAGCCTGTAAATGACAAGTGTGATGAATGACTGTCAAAGCCGTGGCTTTGCTTCAAAACAAATATGACAACACGGACAAAACCTGTGATTGAACTTAATGAGCAACATAGTATGTGTGGGCGTGAACGTTAATGGTGATGACAAGCTGCCACTCTAATACAGACTTTTTTCTTGCCCTGCATTATTCTCTCCTCTAGTGTCCTTCATGACATTCTGACTCTTAAGCCTAGAAACTATCAGCAGATAGGTATCAGACCACACGCAGCCACAACATGGCCCATTTTGCACCTACATAGCCTACGTACTTGTTTTGCTACTCCCCTGCTCCAGTCATATTGATCAGAACCTCCCTTTAGTGTAAGTTTGGTGCAACGGCTGTATAGAAGTGTTAAGACCTAGTGCACTTACACCCCTTCCCGTCGGCAGCACATGCTGTAGCCAAGGATGAAGAAAAGGACTAGTGCCACAGCAGAGGGAACGGCTAGCGTGATGAGGAAGTCAGAAAAGTAGTTCCGGCTCTTCAGAGTCTCAGGAGGTGGGTTGTATTCTCCAAAATCCGGCAGGATCCCTGTGCCTGGTTCAGCGCGTGTTATGTATACTGGGACCACTTTGTTAGTGTCAACCTGAGGAGGTTAGTCAAAGTTAGCATTCGTAAATAACAAGGGTTGTACGGAAATATAGAGCTGTTGTATATAGAATATATATATATATATAGAACCAAACAACTTTGCTGATGTCTACAGCCTGTCAATACAGACACGTGTGTTGAGCAGGATTCTCACCAGAGAAATTTTACACCAGTCAATGTGAAACTGAGCCCTGAACTTCTTGTCACAGCTGATGACAGGCTCCATCTCCTGGCTACAGCGTAGCTGGTTGTGTGGGCTCTCCACCTCCCGCAGGCACGACGAGAAGGGAACGTCAGCACCAACCATCACATACACTCTGAGGAGAGGGGAAACAGACATGCTGCCGGTCACCAAGTGTGCTCATCCACTCCACTGATATGTGAAGGTCCCCCAGGCCTTAATTAAATACAATGTCAGCATAGTGTGAGTGGGCTGGAAATGTATGTAATTTGTTTGATTGAGTGAGCCCAGAGATCGCTGATGGAGAGAACTTTCTTTTTTCTTTTCAAGTGATGGCAAGCAAAGTTGGAGCCTGTGCTCTAACTGAACCGTGTTTTCTCTTAGTTCATGCTCCCACAGCCTCACCCTTCTTTGAGGTTATTGATGGGCAGAGGCACGCGGCCGCCACGGTCCAGTGCCGAGGTGATGTTGATGGCATTGAGGCGTTCAGGCTGCCACACATTCTTCACTGCACCAAGGAAGTCTCCCAGCACTTCACTGGCCAGCATCTCCTCCACATTCATGTTTTTGATGTAAAACTCAGCCTGGTAAGGCAGAGAAAACTCTGCACAGAGGCAGGAGAGAGAGTTTGTTAAAGCAAATGATGCGAAAGAAGGAAAGTCCATTGTTTATTTGTGCTTAATAAATCATCACCAATGATGAATTCATGCTGCACAGTTAACACAGTTGTCTTCACCAGTCTGACCGGCAGACAGGATGGCATGTGTCACTGCGATCTGTGATGACTTGGCAGCATTTGATGCCAGATGGTAGATGACATCACAGCCTAGTGAGAGTGATGACATGCTAGTGCCTCAAACATCTGCTGCTTGTTCACCAAGCTCAGTTGTTATTATATGTTCCGACCATCTAACTTGCAAAACCACAGATGTGAGAACTTTGTGTTTTGTGTGAAATGTTTCTGTAACTCATACAACCTAATGATCAATAAGTGTAGACAAACATCTGCTGCATAATGAGGACGACATATTGGATTCTGTAGTTGACAAGAGTAATCAAAGACCAGATCTCCTCCGTGAAGTGCCTCCTCATCATTGTGCTCCAGCTCTGAACAATTTCCCAGGATTTAATCAGTGAAGTTGTACAGTCTGATCTCTGTTTGCTCTAAAGTGGCGCCTCCTACCTTCTGTAGCCATGATGTTTATGACCAAGTTGTGCCGTGCTGTCTCGAAAGTGCGTCTGTTGTAGGCAGTAATCTGCAACACATAAGGGTGAAAGTTTAAGCCCCGATCAGGGCAGCTTATATGACAGCAGTCCTCTGGACAAGGCTGAACTAGATCCACCACATGGGCTCTGGGCTGAGTGGAGACATTAAATAGAGGCACATGTGGGCTGCTGGGAACGTTAAGCTTTTTGGGGAAAAGAATTTCTATAGAAGCTTAAGGGGGACAAAGAAAGAATATACAAACATATTAACAGCATTCTCTTTATTTCTGCTTCACTGCTTAGGTTTTTTACAACTATAGGCACAGAGAGCAGCATTTACTCTGTTTTAATTAATATATTGTGTAATGATGTTTTTCTTTTGAAGGCCTCCAGCCACTCACCTCTATGACTGTGGGCTTGCCAACATGTTCCGCAGTGGGGGAACCATAGAGGACACCGTCACTGTGTGGAGTCCTCTGAATGTAACGCAGCCAGCCCGGCCTGTCTGGGTATCCCATCAGGTTAGTGTTGAAAGTGATGGGATCGTTGCTGCCATCACCTGAAGATAAATGCAGACAGATGTTCATATACAGAGCAGGTTTCAGAAAGGTTGGTTCCCTGTCACCAACACCATGACCCAGGAAAAGATTAAGCCTTAGAACGAAGCATGTTCTAGTTGTCATATACCACAATTCCAAAATGCAATATTCAGTCATGCAATTAATATGGCAAGATAAGAAGATACCCATAATACATTTGTACCTGATTTTGGGTAGGGGGGAAACTCCCCTTTGAAGTGCTCTCTCTCCAGAACATGGACAAACAAGACCCCAGCAGATGGGTAGACAGTGAGGTCAGAATGAGCCCTGGATAAAATGGTAACCACTGAAATAAAGATTTTAGGAACAAGAAGAACATTAGCTCTTTATAGTAGAACAACATCCTCAATAGCTGTGTGTTACATTTTGAAAGTGTCACTAGCTTAAAAACAGAGCGCTATTAGGTAGTGTTAGAAGTGACAGCTAACAATTCATAAAGTTTATTTGGCTAGTGGAAACTTCACACTTGATATATCACAGACAGACAAGTATCAAGGTGTAAAAAAACTAAATTAGAGCTTGAAAAGACAAAATTATGTTGATTAATCCATTCATTTCAAAAACATGTAGCTGAGGCTCTGTGAGTGGAGGCTGATGTTGTTTTTATGTCTTTCTCCCTCTTGGTTTCTTTAATGATCTTTTCTTTAGTAGAACCGTCTCAACTTGGGCATCGTTTGTTTGGGTAATCACAGTGAAAATGGCCGCTTCATCACTCAACGTCACACAGTGTAAGATTCGAGGGTGCCTCTGCCAGCTCTGTCCCTATTTTTGCATCTTTCTTGTTTAATAATTCACTCTCTTCCCAGAGCACTTGGCTCATATCAAGATCACTTTCCTTTACTGAGTTTTTCAATAACCAAGGAGGAGTGCAGTCAGGAGAAGATCGGAGGAGAAAAAACAATTTCAGCCCTTCTCAGCTGGATACACACAAACTCCAGGTGCAGAAAGGAAATTTGGGAAGCTGTGATTAGGCAACCTCCCTCCCTTGACATTTCTTTTTATCTATGATGGATCTTTGCCTCCACACTGTAAGCTCTTGTCTTTAACATAAGCCTTGTCTCTGCTTAAGACAGTCATAGAGGAGGATTTACATTTTAATCCAGGTCCATGACAGAGGACGTCTGTGTAGGCTCTCTGGTTGTTATCCATTACCAGTGTGTACAAAGAGGTGAAGATTAGGTGACACCGTGAGCTTTAGTCCATTAAAAGAGTCCAACTCCACGAGGCTAAAAAACCTAATGACAGAGAAGTGTGCTGATGAGCTAATGGAGGAGGGACGTTATAAAACCTTCACACACGTCTGTTAAACTGAGCCACATCTGTGGTCACAAGTAGAGACACTGAACTGGCCATATGTCCCAAGTCCCCTAGGGGCTGGACTACTAAAAGACACAATCAATAGCAGTAAGCTTCAACTAAATACTTCAGAAACCTGAGGCGACATCCGTGACATGTCTCTTTAAATGTAGATTGAGGAAACCAACTGAGCGCCACTGATGTCAGCAACCAACCATTTCACTTCCTCCCACAACACTATGATCTTGTGTATTCAAAATCAGACCAATATTGATCCAGTCTGTGTAACTTAGTATTTTGACTAGTCAACAAAACTGTTTACATTTTAGTTTGAGTTTAAGTCTGGAATTTCATGATTACTAAACATATGTTGTAATAGCTAACCTAACATAAACCTAAGAAACAGTGTAGCGCTGATTGGCTCTCACTCTGATTTGTTCCTTCTGTTTACAATATCGGTGCTAATGACGTGCTGATGTCATCTATGTCAATTTTTGTCTTCTTTTTGTACTTGGCTTATGAATCCATAACCTCTGCCATCGGCATTTACTCTCACATGACTTCCTATTCAGTTTTTACTTGGACTT